ATTGACATATCAATATTTTTATTAGTGGGGAGCTTTAAATTTGTATCTTATTGTCTTTTTTTCCTCAGTAGGATACTGCATATTCAATTCAAATCCCTACCATTTTCCATCACTCGTACATGTCAACCCAGAACCAGCTCCCGCTCAAGACTGATTTGTGTGAGCTGTTGCGATGCAACCTCATGCCTTGCTGATGTTGGGTCTTAATGGTTCTGCAGTACAGTATTACGCCAGTACTTGAGGACACACCACAGCATAAAGGTGTAAACATTACACTGTTACACTATAATGATTTTGTCTCAAAACTAGAACACTCATACAGAAACCATTTACCTGTACCCTGCCCTAATTGCTACAACCATTGTCATACTAACAAGTACTGTATAGAAATCCAGTTGAAGCCAATCCTCATGATACGTTTATCAGCAAGAAGAGCTGCTCGTGTACAACATTTTCAGCATCTTCTCATATCTTCATATTATGATGAATTGATGTAAGGTTGTATTGAGGAGACGTGAAGATCTAACATCATCAACATTGAGATGGGTGGAATCTGGCTCTGGGTGATCATATAGAAGTGATGAGACCGGGACCAGATTCTGGATCTCATCAGAACCCCTGCTATGGCACAGGTCCAGTCACTTAGTTCGCACTGTGTGTTTTATCTATTAACTGATACACATTACAAAGGAGTTTCTGTTCAAATTATATTTCTTCCTGTCATAAGCATTTCTATAGCATTCATGACCATGGTATCAAAGCACAAAATTAAAGATGGCAACCAAATGTGACTACTAATGCATTTACTCTCTAACCTTAAAACCCAGTTTATTCAGGGGTACACAAAACGTTAGAGAGACATCATTTTATTATATTGGTTTTAGTATTACCTCTGTAAGGGCCAGATTATGCAACCATTACTGAGGTTAGCAATTACTTATTCACAGCACAGGCTGCAGCTGCTCAAGACCAGCTGTTTTCTTGTGGTCTGAGTAACTCTAGGTTTGCCTGAAAATCTTGTTGCAGCGTGTGACTGTAATAGCTAAAATTCTAAACTAATAGATACAAAAGCATCAACATCTAAATTATGAACTAAAATTGTGATTTGGTTAATGGCCACAGCTACAGCTATAGATGTCCGAGTGGGAAGAAATGCCATAAGCAGCACTGACTGTTACATTGTTCCAAGATCTGGCACTTGCTGTATTCAGTCCTGCACATGTGCCAAAAACATTGAGACAGAGGCAGTTACAGGTATAAAATCTGATCTCTCACTAGACATCAGACAGGGCTAGAAATAAAGGTTTTATATTATTGAAAAGCTGGAAATTTCAAGCTTTCTAGACATGAAAAGCATTTCTGTCTTACTGTCATAGGACACAGGACATTGGACTTTCAAATCACATAATTTTTACTACCATCTTGATCGTCTTCCTAGTTTCATTTCCAACTTTATTTTAGTAGGGTTACCATATTTTAATTTTTAAAAAGGAGGATGCTCCATGAGGCCCCGACCCCATCCCAACTCCGCCCCTTCCCCGCCCCAACTCTGCCCCCTCCCCTGAACACTCCGTCCCTTGCTCCTCCCCCCTCCCCTGCTTCCCGCGAATCAAATGTTCGCGGGAAGCCTGAAACAGGGAGGCAGCAGGTAAGCTGGGGCTGGGGCGGGTTGCGGTGCGGCCCAGTCCGGCCCCCCTGGCCGAGCAGCTCCCTCCGGTGGCCGGCCGGCCCAGGTCAAGAGGCTCTGGCCCCGGCGTCTCCTGCCCGGCTCGAGCCCTGAGGCGCCGCCCCCCGGCCAAGTGCCCACGCCCCTGGCCCCGGCTCCAGCCAAGCACCGTGCCGGCCTGGGCCCCAGGCGTCAGCCCCGGGCCCTGGCCGAGCACCGCGACGGCCCCCGGCCAAGTGCCCGCGCCCCCAGCTCCGGCTCTGGCCTAGCACTGCGCCGGCCCCGGCCAAGTGCCCGCCCTCCCGGCCCCGGCTTTGGCCGAGTACTGCGCCGGCCCCGGCCCTCGGCCAAGTGCCCCCGGCCCCGGCCGAGCACCGTGCCGGCCCTGATCAAGTGCCCGTGCCCCCGCGCCGGCCCCCGGCCCCTGTTGAGCACTGCGCCGGCCCCGCACCGCCGGGGCCTTCCTCCCTATTTTCCCGGACATGTCCGACTTTTTGGGATTTCCCCCCGGACGGGGATTTGAGGCCCAAAAAGCCGGACATGTCCGGGAAAATCCGGACGTATGGTAACCCTAATTTTAGCAGCTGCTATCTTGAGACATGCTACATCTAGAAACCAGTTGCAACTGTTACATTGTATATTGCCTTAGGGCTCCATCCCACTGCCACTGCAATACACCTCTACCCCGATATAACACGACCCGATATAACACAAATTCGGCTATAACGCGGTAAAGCAGTGCTCAGGGGGGGGGGGGCAGGGCTGCGCACTCCGGTGGATCAAAGCAAGTTCGATATAACACGGTTTCACCTATAATGCGGTAAGATTTTTTGGCTCCCGAGGACAGCATTATATCGGGGTAGAGGTGTACTCCCATTGATTTCAATGGAAGCTGGATTGGGCCCTTAATCTTTAACTCTAGCAGCCATGAGGATATTAGGTGTTGAGGCCCAGATCCACAAAGCTATTTAGGTTCCTAACTTCCATTGAAAGACTGTTGCAAAAGGGGCTTACAGTAGTTTTTGGCCCAGCTCTAATGCTTTCAGAACCAATAAACTTTTCCAACCACTCGTTCTGGATTAGTTTTGAAAAAACTAAAAATCAGTCCCGTTTAAACTAGTGGAAAAATAGGCACTCTAACTATTGACTGGAAGCTATTTTAAAATTGAAATACTCATTGGTACCACTGCTTAAAGTGTGCGAAATACAGCAATCTTTGAACATTTGGCCCTCTATTTGATTATAAAGTTGTGAACAGTTATGTAATACTGGAGCTAACATTTTAAAACTATAACAGTAAAAACAATTCCATTCTGTTCTTCAAACAGACTCTGCAGATTAATGTTGACTTTACAAAAAGCCAGTATTTTTTTAATTAACCAGAAATCAGGAAAGAGAGTAAATATACAAATAACAGAGGGATGATTCTTTAATTCCTGCTTACAGCCAGTAAAAAATATGCAGTTTCTTTTAAAAGCTTTCTTTATTTGCAAAATGCATAAAGATTTTCAATCAAAATTGAGAAGGCAACAATCTTTTAAAAATTAATTTAAAATGAACATACCAGATAGCGTCTGATAGGTTTTAAATTAGGGTATGTCTACACTGGCAAGTTTCTGCACCACAAGTTATACCACGTTCATTAAAATGCTGGAATTAAATCGCTGTTGCATGTCCACACTGTGCTCCTTGTGACGCTGGAGCACATCTACATTAGCAGCTCTTGCAACGGCAAAGACAGCAGTGCGTTGTGGTAGCTATCCCACTGTGCAACTGGATGCAGGGTGCTTTGGCAAAGGTTTGCAATGCCTCATGGGGCAGAATTCTGAATGTTCACATGAGGCTCTAGTTAAGTCTTATATTCTGAAAACTTCTGCTGCAGGATATACAATTGTTCAATGCAGAGGCCAGATCTTGCTAACTGGCAAATAGGAGTTTTGCCACTGACTTCAAAGGGCCATATTATAACTTTACTCATACTGAATGGGCGGTCCTACTGAAGTCAACAGAACTACTTAAGGAGAAAGGTACTATGCATTGTAAGTAAGGGTACCAAGTCAAGTTCAACGAGAGCAGGATGAAGGTGAAGCCCTACAATAGATATTAGAGCTGGATGGAAAACTAGGAGAGAGAAAAATTGCAAGCATTTTTGCAAACTTTTTTACTGCTTTTTGTTGAAATATAACTTAGACATTTCTATAGACAGCTACTGTAGTTCTTAATGTTGTGCCAAAATCTGCTCTCACTTTTCTGTCTTTAATCCTGTGCAACCTTAATGAAATCAATTACATTGCACAGGGTGTAAGCCATGGCAAATTTGGCCCATTACCTTAAGTGACACTCAAATATACAGCAGTTTTCATTAAGCAAGGGTTAAATTAATGGAGATATCCCATCTCCTAGAACTGGAAGGGACCTTGAAAGGTCATCGAGTCCAGCCCCCTGCCTTCACTAGCAGGACCAAGTACTGATTTTTGCCCCAGATCCCTAAGTGGCCCCCTCAAGGATTGAACTCACAACCCTGGGTTTAGCAGGCCAATGCTCAAACCACTGAGCTATCCCTCCCCCCTGTTACTCTACAAGGGATCTGTGACGCCCAAGAGTCCAAAGGGTAGGTGCTGAGAATGCTGGTGTAGTCAATTAAATAACAGGCCCAAATATTTGTAACTCAGCTGGTTAAAGGTAACATAATATTTTATTGCCTGGTATAAGAAGGGTCATGTGTGTGTGTAACAGCTGGAAAAAAATTATCATTCCAGGAAAAATATTATCATCTACATCCACATGAAGAGTTAATCTTGCCCACAAAATTCAAGGGGTAATTGTGCAGCGTGAAGAGGCTCATTCCAAGACAAATCATTACATGCTTTTTCATTAGTTTTCAGTCAAAAGTAGGGTTACCATATTTAACAAAAAAAGAGGAACCTCCATGGGGCCCTGGCCCCGCCCATTTCTCCACCCCCAGCCCACACCAACTTCGCCCCTTTCCCCACCCCAACTCCGCCCTAACCCCACCCCCTCCTCCCTCCCACTCCCAGCCACGCGAAAAGGGCTGCCTGAGCGCTACCGGCTTCATGGTTTGCCGGGCAGCCCCCAGACCCTGCGCCCCTGCCCAGCGCTTCCCCAGC